GCACTTGGGGGCGCAGGACTAGCAGGCGACAGTCCCGACTGGGTGGGCTTCGCTGGGGAGAGCAAGCAATGCGTGGGTCTGGGTAGAGCGGGACCCTTCCTGGCTGCAAATCCTGACCCAATCAGCTCTGCCTTTGTTTTGAAATGGCACCAGCCGACCCACTCCAGTACGGAAGTCTCTCCCAGAAACAAAATGCTTTCCCAAGTTTTGAATCCCTCCCCTAGTGTACACCCGTGGCTCAGAGCCACCGGATTTGAGACATAGTGGAAGGAACCGATTTGACAATAATTTGAAAGTTATCAATTAGTCCCTTACTAGAATTCATTTTCATTTTCTTATTTTCCAGCAGTCTGGGCAATGAATTATTCAAGGGGTTTCCAATGTGAGTGGGGCTGCTAATGGTTCGCAGCCCAGGCAGTGTCTTCCCTCGCCCCCCTGCCCTGGCCTCCAGGGGCCGACCACAAAGGTACGATGGTTTTATCAAATATTACATAACGTTATTAGGACAGAACTTCTCTTGCAGGTGGGAAGATACCCCTATGGGAATTGGAATTCAGCTGCTATTTTATCATCGCCTTTGAAACAGTCCCTGAGTACCAAGGGACTCTCATGGATGGACTGAGGCTGAAATGGCAGGAACAGGCCAGATAGGATTTGTGGTCATCAAGGCCATTTGGATAGGACAGGGGACCCTGGGTTTTCACCAGTGTCAAAAACCACAATTTCAATTTCACACACACACACACACACACACACACACACACACACACACGACTTTGAAAACCCTTCCATGCCGCCCAAATGGTCAGGGTTTGTGTCCAGGAGATGCTGGCGCAGTAGGGTGGAATGCCAAGGGCTTGACTCTTCAGCGAAAAGGAGTCCTGTGCTCTTATCTTGGCCGCAAGTAGCAAGGAAATCTAAATAGTCTTAATATCACAAGGAAGTAAAAATCGATACGATCACTGTGGTAGGTGCCTACGGTTTATTTATGACAATATATTCAAAGTTGAGAGCAATTGCAGAACATGCTTTAAACAATCTATTCAGAAGTTAGTTGGTAGGTCTTAAATGGATGGAATGAAAAAGACCCTGAGTTAGGACTGAGGAAGAGGGAACCTGAAGAAGAATGAGTGGCAGCTACATTGTATGCTTTTGCCTTCCCTACTGGATCACTGCCAGGGTTGCCTGGAACTTCAAATGCATACGGGGCCCAAGCCATTCATTCTCTCAGACTTACCCATGATTACTCTTTAAAAATATCCCAGGCAACATGTTTTGCTCTTTTTACCTACTGAATCATGCTGGAATGTGCTTAAAGTGAACTTTTGCTCTTCAGAACCTGAAAACTCTAAAGGCCAAACTATCATCGAGTAGCAAGCCTATGAATTCTCAGGAGCTCATGCTTTTACTTCTTGAATAGTCTTCCTCTTTCCCACATACAAATTTACTCACCAGAAAGCAGTGCATTCTTTGTTTTGCACAGTTTCCTACTACATAAATAGGAAGCTCTGCAAAGCACATATTTTCATGATCTGTTTTATTGTACTGTACTCTTTTAACTTGTAAGGATTTTACTTAATACAAAACAATTGTTTGCATTCTTAATACATACATTGATTGTTATAGTATAATACAAATGTACTTGCCTGCAACATTTCTATTTGGGGCAATTTTTTTTTCTTCAAGTCTTTGTAAATCTCTTTTCGTTTGTTCATTCCTGGCTCTCCAACAACAAAATCTGCTCATACTTTTCTATAAAATAACTTTGTTTTACAAATGCATTTTATTGAAAACTTTGATGACATTTCAGGTCAAGAACAAGAGAAACAAATCCGTTCTAGTGGAAGAGACCTTTTTTTTAAAATATCTCTAGTGTTTTTGTTTAAAAACATGTTAAAAATCACAGCTCTTTAAATGTACTACTCTCTTCTGAACATCAAAGTGTTTTGCTTCACAGATTTGCCGGTAAAATTAAAAGATTTGACTAAAATAGGATTTCCGAAGATATGAATCCAGTTATTAAGGAACTTTGTACATTTGGCATCTTATCTAGTCCCAGGTCACCAGGATATGGCTTCTCTGGTCGCTTAGAGCAGTAGGTGGCATACTTAAATGTTCCAGATGAACAGAGGCATTGGAAAAGATGTCTGGGCAAATAAGTGGTTAGTTTTTATTACAATCTATGAACCCCTAAGGGAAGTCATTTAATAACAAGGTTTTGAGAAGTATTTTTAGGCTAGAATAATATATCTCTCACTGCTGTGAAATCAATTCTGACGCATTGCAACCCTATATATACAAATCTCGAAAGACCTCTGTCCAGGGCCTTCAATTTAAATTTCCTTTGTGGGTGCTTGCTTATTTCCACTTCTCTAAAGAGAGGGCTATAGTTTAGGAGTTTCTGCAGTTTAAACAACTTTGATTAACACAGGCAACTAATAAGAATTCTTTTTATTCGGAGCACTGCTTTTCACTTAAGAGCTATCTGAAAGAAATAAATTTTGGATTCAGCAGAAAAATACATAATTCTCACCCTTTCCCCCTTTTCCATCTTCCTTTCAAATACCCTTCCCATGTTCCCCCACCCTTGGGGGGAGTGGTGGGATTGTTGTCTGTGAATTATGTTTCATGTTGAGCTGCTACATCAGGAGGACTTGGTCCACTCTAGAAACAAAAATGCACCCAAATCATAAAGCTGCTCTTCTTTCAGGTACGTTTTATTCGTAAGTGTGCTGGAACATATCTCCCTATTGTATTTTGGCGCACAGAAATGGTTTAAATATAAATAGGGAGGGGAAATGTCATAGAGTAAGGAAATAACCAAGGAGGAGGCTCAGCAGACATACATGGTCAGGTGGATTGATTCGTGAGACATTTATGGATGAATACTGGAAGTTTGTAACCACTCTGTGAGTGTGTGAATTAAAGAAAATATTTACAATAATCTTCCTTTTCCCCTTTCCCTCTAAATACAAGAATATGACAAGAATGTTGTGTTTTCAGTGAAAACAGGTAGTAGACTGTGAAATCACACCATCCACAAAATGGTCTACCAGAAAGCTAGCCCAGTTTAGTGCTCTCAGTTTCAAATGCATAGAATGTTTGCTCTGCAAACAATGATATACAACATAATTCAATAAATAATCCCTAACCAGAGAGGCCTAACTGTGTTTCTTTCTGAACCTTTCAGGTCATGCATGATTTCAATCTTGTTAAATGAGGGTTTTATTTTTTTTCTTTTCTTATTTGTTCTGGTTTTCCATTTTTAATATATTAAAAATGGAAAGAAATCGCCTCCACATTAGAGCTAAAGAGTATCTTGTGCAGAAGGTAGGCATTTTACCTAACCACCTTCAACTATCTTTCTCAATTGTAAAAAATCCATCAGCAGTTCATGAAGTACCTTGATTATCACTATGAAACACTATACATAGTTTTCTATTTGGGAGACTGATAGTGCAAATTAAAGTTTTTGCTACCCAACATTTATCCCAACCATAAATAACTTTCAAATAATAATACCTAATAATAATAATAAAGAAACTGTTCTGTTTCCTCCCCCCCACTACATGCAGACCCCTTTGAAACAAACAGAAGTTTAAACCTGTCTTCCTCTGAGCTGAGATGAAGCTGACTTTCTCGGCAGCTCAGTTCAGCTCCTATTGAAAGCAGAAACATCTCAACATTAAAAAAAAATCTCAAATTCTCCCAGAGAGGGAGGGAAGAAACCTAGAAGAGCAAGATAGATTTTGTTTGGTGAAGAACATGGGTCAGAGTATCCCTCCTGGAATCTTACACACCACAGTCTATTAGAATCCATAGGAGAAAAATAATCAGGAGCAATATTTTAGAAGCACACTCAGATCAGAAATAAAAGGATAAACAGTAGAGTTCTAACAGTGAAAGGAGGAACAACTTATTTTAAAATTATTTCTTTTGTCAATTATTAAAACAGGATCAAAAGAAAAAACTTGCTAAATTATTTTATTTTTTTCTAGAATAAAATATTTAATGCACCCTCTAAATTTATTTTAGCCAACTCCAACACTGCCTCTCTCTTCCTAAAGGTCCCACAGAGCCTAGGTCTGAGATGTGTAAGCCAGGCCACTGAAAAACTTAGTCCGAACCTAAACAGGAAGCAAATCCCCCCTTTTCTGCAGTGATGGAGAGCAACCATCAGAGTCTCACTAACAGAGGAAATAAATAGGAGATGGATAGAGTGGAGGTAAGACTTAGAAAGAAAAACTAAATTAAACATACAGACAAAACATCTTGCTCCTCTAACTAGTAAACTAGTATTTCATCTTCTGCTTCACTTGGCTTTCATTTTTTGACTGTGTGTGTGTGTGTGTGTGTGTGTGTGTGTGTGTGTGTGTTAGGTTGGGATGGTGGTAATGATGATGGTGCTCTTTTCTGGTTTATTTTGTTTTCCTTGGGGGGAATGGAGCTGCAGATTGTGGCTCCCCGGAGTTAAATTTCTAAAGTATTCTTTCTTTGCTTTTGTTTTGTTTTAGTTTGTCTAGTTTTGGAGGTTGGTAGATTGGTGGGTGGGGTGGGGTGGGAGGGAGGTTGGTACATAGTTCCTTGGTCCCCAGGAGTTTTGGTAAATGTCTCTTGTCAAAAACAATCCTTTTCCCTATGCTTCGCACAACTTGCCCCACCCTAACCCCTAACCTATCCTGCTCCTCTGAACCTGGGTCCAGTTTCTGCTTTTCTATTACCCACTCCCTGCTCACCCGACACGCCCCTCTTCCCGGCTGCCACCCCCTCCTTCTTCACACCCACAACCCAGTCCCCTAGGCTGTAGGAGGGCAAATGCTGGGGGCTATTGGAAGAGGACATAGGAGAGCCTAGAAGAGTTTAGGAGGAACTGCCCCAAACGCAAGCAGGATAGCTTTCTGGCCAAATCCAGCGGGGAAACTGTCCCAGGGAGGGCCGAGCCCTCCAATGCCCGCCCAGATCCCCAGCTACCCTACCCTACACCCCTCAACCCCAGTCCCTCAGTAAGTGGCGGAGAATTTCATCCGCTTCTGCTTCTGTCTCTGGTTGCAAAACCACACCCGCACCACGTTCTTTTTGAGGTCCAGTTTCTCAGCGATGGCTGCGATCTTCTCCGATGAGGGTCGGGGCTGCACAGCGAAGTAAGCCTCCAGGGAGCGCTTCTCGGGCGCGGCGATGGAAGTCCGCTTGCGCTTCTTCTCGCCGCCGTTGAAGAGCTCCGGCTTATTCATTTTCTCCCGCTGGGCGCCCTCGGCTTCCTCCAGCCACGCCTGCAGGATGGGCTTGAGCGCGATCATGTTGTTGTGCGACAGCGTGAGCGACTCGAACCTGCAGATGGTGCTCTGGCTGAGCGAGCCCACGCCCGGGATCTTGAGGTTGGCCAGCGCCGAGCCCACGTCGGCCTGCGTCACGCCCAGCTTGATGCGCCGCTGCTTGAAGCGCTCCGCGAACGCCTCCAGCTCGCGCGGGTCCGTGTCCGAGTCGCAGATGGATGCCAGCCCCGCCGCGCCCACCACG